ACCAGGGCTGCCAAACTCCCAGCCCACTGGCTGGATGCGTCACATGCAAGCCAGGCCCAGTTTAGCAAAGGGGGGGGGGAAGTTCCAATGTCACATGATGCTACCATGACAACATGAGTTTGACACTCCTGCCCTATATCATTTCAGACAAATAGTTATCCAATCTCTTCTTAAAAACTTCCAGAATTGCAGCATTCACAACTTTTGGAGGCAAGTTGTTCCACTGATTAATTGTTTTACCTGTCAGGAAATTTCTCCTTAGTTTTAGCTTGCTTCTCTCCTTGATTAGTGACCACCCATTGCTTCTTGTCCTGCCTTTGGGTGCTTTGGAGAATAGCTTGACTTCCTCTTCTTTGGGGCAGCCCCTGAGATATCAGAACTAGGGAGGGAGTGGAGTTTGCTCTCAATTTATATTCAAGTCCTTTGCCCTGTCAGTGTTGGGTGGGAGTGGTCTCAGTGGTTCTTTGGCTGTTCACTGTCAGCTTGTTTGGCAATTCCTTGATTGGGGTATTGTTTACTTCTTGATTGGTCTGATGTTAATGTTGGTGTTAATCTGTTCATCTGGATGTTGATTGCTGATATGGACACCTGCCTCCCCCTCCCTCCCTCCCCAGCAATCAACATGGAGATAAGCAGAGATTAACAGCCTAAAACTTTTAGCTGGGATTCTAGAAGCCCAACCAGCAGAGACTTTGCTTTCATTCTCATATTTCTTTAAAATGTTTCTTGATTGACTTTCAAGGCCACTGTCTTTCCAAGGTGACTTACAATACTCCAATACACAATACCAACTCATAACTTGCAATTAACCAATCAAATACATTCTTACCAGAAAATACACATGAATGGATTCACTGAAAACCTGCTGGAGAAGTAACAATCATTTTCATCACCAGCTGGGGAAAATAATAAGTTTTTCAAATCTTTTCAAATCAATGATGTGCAGAGGTCTTAGGATATTTTGGAGATGCCCTATTCCACAGTGTATCATTGGGAATGCCATCTCTTTTTCTCATGAACGTTTCTTTCTAAGAAGTGTCAATATTGAAAATTATACCACCTTGGTTCTGGATCTGTCTTTAATTCCATCGCAACTTCTCATAGGCAGTTAGGTGGCAGCACTCAGCTAAAACTCCACTATGTGGGATCAGATATCAGATTAGTATTTGAAAGGGAGACCGCCAGAAATCCCCAAACTGCAAGAATCCTGAAAGGAGGCGACAACGCATTTCTATACTGTTGACAAGGACATCACATTGATGCTGAGTTTGACTCAAAGGAAACCACACCTTTACCTGTCTTCCCTTGCAAGTAAGCTCCACCTTGGCAGTTATCCTTCCCAACCTGCCTTCAGCTGCTCTTCTGCTTGCACCATTTCCACTCACAAATACCTCTGACTCAACTGGACCACAAGCTTAAGAACAGCTGCTGCCTTTGGTAGTGAAGACAGAATGCAGAACCAAAGTCTATCCCTGAATGTTACACGTTTAGGAAAAGAGAAATCCTCTTTAAATCCTCTCCAAACTCTTCAAAAGCATCTGACTGAAGCTACATTAAATGGAAACAAAAGTAACTTTTAGCACTATTGTTCTAAGTCAGTGTTTCTCAATATTGGCAACTTTTAAGATACATGGACGTCAATTCCCAGAATTCCTCAGTCAGCATAGGGAGTTGAAGTTCATGCATCTTAAAGTTGCTATGGTGGATAAACACAGTTCTAAACCGCCGCAGCACAAATGGAGGTTCAGAGTTCATCCACAACACCTGACTAGTGTTTCATGCTGAGTTTCTAACCATCAAATTATACCAGCTGACTCCACGGGATGTTCTCCAGGTAACAACTTCCAGAATTCCCTGATTGAAGGAATAATGCTGGAAGTCAGTGTCACTCTACATGGCAGATATAAAATACTGAGACATAAAGCAGAAGAATGGGAACACATTATATTGCTCCATAACATGGGTTCTTTGGTTCAGATTTGGAGCAACATATGATCCCAGCCACTGTGAATTGTAAACCATAGATTTTGATGTAAGGCTATCGGAATCATACCGCTACAGCTTGTTCAGTAAACTAGCTTACACTACAATGCACGATGCCTTACAGTCACGTGCTAAGTATAATAAAAATTTGTTAAATTTGTATGCCCCCCTCCCCAACTATATGATTCTATGAATATAAACTGGGGATTTGTGGTTCATAGCTCAGCCTTTTAACCAGCATGATACATTCACTTCTTGAATGAGACTGCTGGCCAGCCACTGATGAGACAAAACCCTGAGATAAGATGGAACTTTAACCTGATCTAGAAGGCCTTTACATATTCTTAGGAAGGACCAGGTCTTTTTGTTGACAACAAGTAAGTGGGATAAACTGAGTCAGCTTTTCAATAAATAAAAACGTTATATGCATGCGTAAGAAAGAGCTGCATTGTTTCATGTCTGGCTTTTCAGCTTCCCACTACAATCAAAGGCTGAGCAAAGTGGGCTTACCTTGCTCTGATCTACCATGGCTCTTCTTGCTCTCAGATACATCCTTATGGAAATCGAGTCCATCCACAGCCATTAACCAACAGGCTTTTAAAAGGAAGAGGACCACTTACCATGAAAGCTAAAGATGGATTCAGCCTCAAATGCTGAAGATTGTTTTTAAAAACCCATCCTGGATCATTGATGTAACTGAGAAAACGAACAAGAAGCCCCGTTGACTCATACCAAGATAAGCCCATCTTGTTCCACATCCTGCTTCCCACCACGGACATACAAATGCCCTAATGAAAGTCCACAAAATGGACCAGAAGGCAATCCTTATCTTCCACTATTTTATCCCCTCAGCAGCAAACTAGAGATTACTATCCTCTGAAAACTACAATGTAAAATGACACATATCAATGGCTGTGTTCACAGATAAAAGGGCAAAATAATATATGAAAAGCACTGAAACATCAAACAAGACGGTACTTAGGTAGCCATGTAATTCAAGCCCCTTTCTCAATACCTTCGGTGGAACTCAGAGCACTGCTTCCATAGCCCATGAGTTTCACCGCTGCAGTGTTTCATTATTTACAGGTTCTTGGTAAATATGCTTCTGATTTCAACCTGCTTATCTCAATCCTGCTGTTTGGAATGACAATCCAAGTCTTTCATAACATTTGATTTCCAAACCCTTCACTATCTTGATTACCTTTAATTCTAACTATGGCTCGCTTAAAAGATGGAATTCAGAACAAAACATATTATTCCACACAAAACACAGAAATAAAATGAAATTATTGACTATGATCCAATAAACTCACCTTAGCTAAAACAATTACACACTCCTTCATTTACCAATCCTTCTCATTTCCCGTCCTTCTCATCTGTTTTCCTATTTTTAAACAGTAATATTTTGGGGATAAAAGCCACTATACTGTACCTGCTTTTTGCAAAGTGACATGTACAGTGACATTCCAGAGAAGTAATTGTTAGCCTTCTGCAGCCAACCAAGCCTCTCATGCATCTTAAAATATCAAATATATGTTCATGATGAAGTAGGCAATACATACAATAACCAAGTTAAGCCTGAATGTACATGGATCACATAATATTGTAAGAATATCATTAAACTTTTTATTCCTCCAGCCTAACACTACATTTAGTTAGTAGGGCATTGGATTACTGGGTTGTGTTCAATTTGTGATAAAGACACAATGTGCAGCACTAAAGATGTGTGTGTATATATATATATATATATATATATGCATAGTGTATACATACATACATATATATATATATATATATATATATATATAGTGTGTGTGTGTGTGTGTGTGTGTTTTCTTAAGTTTTCACGGGTACTTACATGTATGGTATTCAGCTTTGTTTGGGTATTTTCCCACATCATTATAGTTGTGCTTTTAAAGTTGTTTGGGCAGAATCTCATCTGCCATCAGGCTTCTGTATTGTGTTTGTCTGATGATGGCAGATGAGATTCTGCCCAAACGCTGCTACAACTTTAAAAGCACAACTATAATGATGTGGGAAAATACCCAAACA